CTTCTGAATCAATAAACTTATTATTATTCATCAAAAAAAGATGGGAGCAGTCAAGGTAATCCAGGACCTTCAGGTATAGGAGGGATCTTGAGGAATAAGGATGGCAACATTTTGTCCTTATTCTCAGGTCCAGTGGGTTATGGAGACTCTACAAAGGCTGAGATATTAGTTGTGGTACAAGGACTACAGAAACTGTTGTTTGGGGATATAGGGACATCATCAAAAAGGTCAAATGGCTTACGAGCATAATGTCAGTTAGCTTTTAATGGGTTAGTAGATCGGCAAATGCTTTGTCAGATTCTTTAGTTAAATAAGGGGCTTCAAGGGATTCTCTGTTTTTGGCTAATTTGTAACTACAATCTGAAAAGAGTTGGGTTTGGAACCACCTTTAAGGGGAAGTAACACCTCGTGCCTCCTCTTAGGGTGCTCCATGCTTGTATTATATCTATCTCTATTTAATAAAATACCATTCATTCATCAAAAAAAATTGTTGACTGCACGAATATTTTTATATGGTATATTTAATTTTGTTTTTACGATTTTACTTTGAATATGTGTTATATGTTATGTTTATATATTTGAATTTGAGTTAATTAACTTTTTAAAACATTTAGTTTAAAATTTATGTATCTTTTTAAATAATACTATTTTCAATAATTTTGCATTTTTTATCGATTTTTTGCATTTTTAATTTTTTTAATTTTGTGCCTTGCTTCAAAAAGATGTGTGCCTCGTCTTGCATTTTTAGAACACTGGACCGAACTTGAAGAGGAGTGTTGTAATTCCTTCTTTTATAAATTTATATCTTGTTTAAATTGCTCTATTTAAATAGAAATCTAGGTGTTGCCAACTTATGATGAAAGTTGTTTGTAAGTTGTGTGTGTGTGTGTGGGGGGGGGGGGCTATTGTTTATCGTTGGCCTCTATGATAGAATTAGTCAGGGAGGCCTGAGAGGCAGTGGTTTACCCTATGGTAGATGTCAGCAGTTCGACTCCGCTTATCTCCAGCTCATGAACTTAGCCAATACTTCTCTTCTCTTCCTCCCCTCTCTCTCTCTCTCTTGTTTCCTACCAAGATAATACAATTGGCATCTTCATTCTCACTATCGTGTTTATTTGCATGTGCAGTTAGGAGAGGACCAATGTTTTAAAACATGGAGGCATGATGCGAGGTGTTCCACTACCTGGAGGCATGAGACATTAGTTCAGAACTCAAGAGGTGTATGCCTCTTGAGCACAAGGAGGCATAAGCCTCCTTAAGAGGAGAGGGAGGAAGAAGAAGAGAAAGGGAGGATCTCATCTTGTTTTTCTTGCATTAAGAAGAATGGAGATGCATAAGACTAGCTGCAAGCCGGGGGGGGGGTCTTATTGAAGAGTGCAACAGAAACATAGCCTTGGGTTTGTTTTGATAGGGTTTTGGTGTTGTATCATTTTCATTCAATTCTTATCATTCTGCTCTCCAATTGAAGTTATATCTAACCCATATTTATCATAGTTTAAAATGTTAGTTGACAGTGGAAATATTGGTCATCCAAATATAGATAACATGTGAAATATCAGATGGAACATTGTAAAAGTTCTAGACATGGTTGAAACATTGTGAAATGTGTGGAAATATACAATGATATTATATGAAATGATAAAAGAAGCACAGATGCAGCCATAGTTTTCAAGGCATCTAGGCGATTTTGGGCAACATTGGGGCACCTAGTCACCTAGTTTCCTAGTTTTATATGCCATTCAGGATGTATATTAATTGAAAAAATAACAATTTTCAAAAATAATACTACTATAATAAGTATTTAATAGAGTAATTTCATATCAATAAGCAACTAAAGAAGGTTATTAACTTTATATGATAAATATTGAAGATGGAAAGTAAAATAGAAAAGCAAGGATGGAATTTCTGTTTTATTTAATTAGAGCGAGAGAGAGAGAGAATAGAAAAAAGAACCTCTTTATACTTCTATTCTTTCTTTTTTTTTCTTGCTTTTTAACTCCTCAAAACCCTTTGATCTTTAAATTTCAATAGTAAAATTAAAACAATGTATAAATGATATATATAGCATATAAGAAAATGCATTAACACATATATTAAAAGGATACAACAATATAAATGATATTATATAAGGCACCCACCTTGTCATTTTTTATGCCTAGGCTGGGTGAGGAACCCAGCGAAGGGCGCCTAGTCACCTAAGCGACACCTTGACAACTACGGATGCAGCCTCTTACATTGTTATCATGTTACAAGCCATCAAATAAAGCTAAGAAGTTAATATTAATAGACGAAATAACATGTTACAAAGTTGTCCTGTAAACTTTAAGGGCTAAAACTACATAAAAGAGTACGCTCAAGCAAAACACAAAACTCATAGAAAGTGCAGATGATTCTAGTAGATCAACCAAATAATCAGTTTCACAAACAAAAACTAAGATTAGAATTTTGACCTAACTCAAAGTTGATATCAGTTTCATTAGGAGAAATAATACAGGTATTCTGCACATCTATGATATTATAGCAAACTCATCATGTTATACCATCTTGTGTACTTCAGGTAGTACTGGTCCAGTAGTTTTCATTGGATAGCATGTCCAGTAACATTTCATGTCAATACCCAATTACCCATTGAAATGGAAATATTAGGAAATAAATCAAAAGAAACACAATAGAAGATACAATAAAATACTGTATATCAGTTAGAAAGGCGATGCATTCGCCAACTCTAATTCCAGAACAGATACCTGCATCTGTACAAGAAGTTCTGTTTTTATACGACGAGAAGCTTCACTCTCATTTCCTTCACCACGCTGACCACATAAGGAATCTATTTCATCAATAAAGATGATGGAAGGAGCACTATCACGAGCCATCTGGAAAAGGTTTGAAACTAGCTTTTCACTTTCACCCATCCACTTTGAGACTAGGTCTGATGAAGAAACACTGAAGGAAGCCACAAATGTCAATTTATCAAACTAGCTTTTCACTTTAACCCATCCACTTTGAGACCATGTAAACACACCACCAGGACATAATCTAATAAAAAATTACCATAGACAAATCATGGAGATTTTGATCATGATAAATAAAGAAAGAACACAATGGCACAACACCTGTATCTACACCAGGAGGTGGCTGTAGAAGTTTCTACAAGGAACAACATGAACACAATGAGAGCCATAGACTAAAAGGGGTACGCTAACACAACAACCCCGAGGCAATTGTAGTAATTGCTATCATTGTAAAATGAATAAAAAAATGTGGTGGGCCATTCCAGGTTATCTGTTGAACAGATTGAACCCTGGAACTTTGCACCATTCTTGGACATAATTTCGATTTACATATATAAAACATAATTACATAATCCAAAAACATAAAAGATCATTTGAAATCCAAGCAGCCTTCTTTCCTTTTGAAATTATAATAAAAGAACAGAAAGCCATTGCTTCCCATTGATTTCTTTTTCATTCGATCGATTGGCTCATAGACAATCAAAAAGAAATAGAAACCTCCACCTAATAGAAAGGTTATAAAGAACTTGAAACTGAGAATGACATGTTCTTATTCAAAAGACATGTCCCAACCTACTACGTTTCAGGTATCCCAGTCACATACTGCAACTAGGGAACATGACATAAAATCAACACCTGACCTGATTCATTTAGGCATACAAATAAATTCTTAAACCCCATATAATCAACTGAACCATCAAAAAAATTCAACCAACAGAAAAACAAGGGAAGAAATAAAGACAAGGATTCTACGAACAAAACCTTATCCAAAATCTTCCAAATGGCTAAACTGTTATGTGAGTTATGTTTTGCTATTCCACCAATTAATGGGCCAAGGCACATGATGAATGGAAAACTTAAATAAGTTACAAGATAAGTAGAAGAAACAAGTTAAATAAACTGATAGATGCCAGAGTGCTATGAAATGCAAAAGGTAATTGAAATATTGCTTGATAATAAAGCCACCCTGCAAAAGGTAAGCTAGGCAACTGTCCATTATGTGCAACAAACAGATAAACAGTTTCTTAGGGGACATGGAAATAGACAAATTGAAAGACATTAAAGAGGAAAAAGCATTCTCTTAGGCGCTTAAGTACAAATGGAGGGAAATGGAGGTTTTTTATTTTATTTTAAAAGACTTTGAAGGGGTAGAGTTCTTTTCAAGATGGTTTTTGAGTATGGAGATTGTGGGAAATATTGCATAGATCCTTTATTCGTATATTGGTTGTAATCACAATGTCCAAGTGTAACTCATAATTCTCTTTTTTCCTATTAATTTAAAATTTCATTATCTATCAAAAAGAGAAGTCAATGGATCAGATTCAGTTTTCTAAGAAATCAAACAGAAAGGCTTAACCCTGATGATGAGTTAATTACCTGAAGAAGGTTGAGTCTGCTTCTGTTGCAACAGCCTTTGCCAAGTAAGACTTTCCCGTTCCAGGAGGACCATATAACAGAAAAGCCCTCCATGGTCGTCTCTTTCCTAAAGAAAATGTCTGATCAGGTAAGACTTCAAAGGCAATACTTCATGATGGTATGAAATAATAACCCACATAGCAGCAAGTTATTTAAAACTAAGTTTCACCCAAAAATAATAATAATAATTAATAGGAAGCTGTGGATTTTAAGTTTATACAACAAAAGGCCATTATGATGTCAATCCTCAACTATTATTAATAAACCATAGACAGTGGCATCTACCCTTTTACCATCAATCCTGCTAATCCCCATCATTGTCTGTACTTAGACCTTTTCATAAAAAAAGGAATAATTAAAGCCAGGTAGCACCAAGTTAATTTAAAAGCTTGAGCAGCCAGTAGTGATTTTCCTCCTAATGCTTTCACTACTTAGGGTTGCTTAACTTATAAGAATATCCAGAGTGACAAGGAAAAAGGGCATAGAAGGCAAGTCAAGATAAACACTTTCTTCTGTTTAACAGCATAGAATTAAATTGTATCCACATAATTAAAACATAAAACAGATGTCTTTCCTATCGTAGACAATCCRATTGTTCTTCGCCAGTATCTGGCACAGGAACCACTTCCCTTCCAAACGATACAATACAAAATTAGATTATTTTTCTCTCTTCATTTTTCTTTGACAGTTTATGGCACAATAGTTTGAATTTCTGTTGGCATTACTAATACAATGACTCTTCTGATAAATATACTCTATCTGAAAATGAAAGTAAATGCTTACTGGGACTGCATATCAATATACTATAAAGGGTAAGAGACATTTTTGAGTGCCTTGGGGGCATCCAAATGTTGAATTAACTTAATTAAGTACTGACCAGTAAAAAATTGTGGGTACTTCACGGGCAATATAACTGCTTCCTGCAATGCCTGCTTAGCGCTTTCTAGTCCAGCCACATCGCTCCACTTCACATTTGGTTTCTCCCTTACAATAGCTGAATTAAGGCCTGCCCTCAACTTTGCTTGCTCGGGGTCCTCTCCATCTCCCCCTTCTCCATCCTTGGGCTTCGTCTTTGGCCTCGTAGCAACCGCAGCATCCCCATTCGAGGCAGGGCCAGTCCCTCCCTCATCAAGAACAGCCCGAATCTCCTCAGCTCGCCTCAAATACTCAGTGAATTTCTGAGTAATTGCTTCCTTAATCTTAGGATTCTTCTCGTACTTCAAGTGGGTCTTGAAGTACTCCAAGGCATTCATATAAAGAGGAAAAGCCCTGCTGTAATTCCCCGCATTATCTTCCTGAACAGCCTGCTTCACGTATTCTATAGCCTGCTCCTTGAAATTGCTATACATCTTCCGATTCTAACGAATTTCATAAAAAGCAAACCCTAAACAGGACAAAAGTTCCCACCAAGAGAACCTAACCTAAAAAAGATCCTAAATTTCTCAGAAAAATTCTTTTCCGTTCTCTTCCTCTTCCTCTCTATATAAATACATATAATCCTCAACCAAATCAGAACATAACATATAATATATAAGTCCCAAGTGTCCCTTAATTCCAGAATTCGACCTCTTACAATCGATGATCTTATAAAGTATAACTTGCAGACGAACCCTAGAAGCTCGTTGACACTTTTACCTATGTCTTCAATGAAAAAACGTCTAATCAAAACCAAGGGAAAGAGCAGAAACTACAGGAAAAAGACCTAGATTTAGCAAATTTGAGTTGGAATGAAACAAAAGGAGACGCAGATTGAACTCTTTCCTCAAGTAACTTGTTTGTCGATCCCTTTCTAACCTCCGTGTTTCCAATCAGAAATTGTAACCAAGATCACAGAAAGTGGGAAAGCAAGCTAGCGAGCGCAAGCAAGAGAGATCGAGCGAGAGAGAGAGAGAGCTGATTGAAGAAAGAAGAGTCGGGGTTTTAATGGCGTGCCATCGGCAAGAGACAAAAAACGACGAGGAACAGCACGCAGAAAGGAAAGAGATTTCGATTTTGTGTGGAATAAAATAGGATGTTGTGCAGCATTACAATCCAACCTCATCCCTTCATCTGAACGGTTCGATCCGATTCTCCTAGAGCGGGCCAGTCCACTTTGTTGCATCAGATAATCTTAACGGTCCGATACATAGAAAATTGGTTTCCAATAATTCGCATCCGGTATTTTTTTTTTTATTTTTTTGGTGAAGGCATCCGGTAAGTTTAAGGATCCGTTTGGTTTCGCATGAGTAGGGGTGTGGAATTGGAATGGCTTATTTTGATTCCAACCATTGGTTTGGTGGAATCAGAATATGATTTCCGTTCAATTATTCATGGGATTTTTAGACTGCACCACCTTAGAAATTTGATTTGAACTGCAGACCTACAACAATTCAATATTATAAACAGCTCTACCAATAGCATTCATACCAACCCATGAATCGGCATCAATTATGAGGTGGCATCGAGCTAGGATTTCTGAGATGGAGTGCAGTCTAAAAACCCTTTCATTCATTGTGGAATGACCATTCCCTCGTTAAGACTATCAAGAGGTTGGGTCTGGTCGGGATAGGGTGGTCATAGTCCTAAATTGATTATTAATCGGACATAATCACATATCTAGAACCGCCTTAATTATATTAAAAAATATATTTATTTACTTGAATAATACCTAAAACTTAGATTTTGATAATATTAAATTATTTATTACATTAATAAATAAAACATTTTTAATTAATTTTGACTTATATATTACTTATCAATTTTACCATTTTAAACATAAAATATGATAAAAGTTATAAAATAAATTAAAAAATCATATATATTTAATAAAATAATAAAATAATAATTTCAGCTTATATATTATTTATCAATTTTACCTATATGTAAGAATTGGAACTGACCAAATTATTAATTGAGACAAAATTATGAAATCAGAACCAACATAGTCAATTTGGTTCCAATAGAGTAGTCAGACAGAACCAACCCATTGACAACCCTCTCTCTTGCGAATAAGAATTCCATTCCAACTAATTCTGATTCTAATTCCCATCTGAATCAGTATCATTCTCATTCCAACTGTAAACCAAACAGACCTACACGCTGTATTTTTACGACTTTAGAACTGGTGTTCAGGTCGGGGACTCGGGAGGGCTGAATTGCAGCAGCTTCTGGCTTTCCGAGGTGAGCCCCACACGGAAAGTCCATAAGCCATGTCATGCAAGAGCTTATCTCTACAGTTCGAGTTCGACCGTGGACTACAGCTACCTTCGACTATAAGGTGCACGGTGCGCATTGCGCTAATTGGTCAATAATTGGAAATTTCTCGATGGATGCTCCGATTTGACTTCTTAGCAATTAAGAATGTAGCTTTTCCATCCCAGGTTCGATTTGCTGATTCGATTTTTAGTAGGTGCTTGCGTGTATCACCATGAGAAGTGGGGCCTATCGGAGGGTGGGGGGACTGAGAGTGTGAGACAACAAAACAAAACCCATCAAGTAGGAGGTCTGTAAACGGGTCGGATTCTGGATTTTGAATTTCATCTTGCTAATGTTCAAATTGAATCTTATCAGATTTTTATCAAATTCGGATTTTAATCGGACATCATAGATTATTTAATAAATTAAACAAAAAATGACAAAATAATATATTTCATTAATATAATGAATAAAAAATGATTTAAATATTATATACTAATAATAAAATATCATATACCAATATATATCTCAATTCAAAGTGAGATGATGGAGTGGCTTGGAGTTTCCTCTTAATTATATTAGGGGCCGTTTGGCATAGATCAAAATGCAATATCTCATGGCTGTTCCATGAAACCGAACACCACCTCAGTTGCTAATTCTATCACTCGAAAAAGAAAAAGCCAAGAAAAGCATCAATTTTTTTGGGAAAATTGGCCCAGTTCTGTTTGTATTTTCTTTTAATTTAATTTTGTTATTAAAATTTTATTTTATTGTTAATAAATAAAATAACAAAATGTATAGAACAGGTTAATCCAATTATATTTACCAGTAACAACTGATGTATTTACTCATTTTTTTTACTCCAAAATTTACTCTAAGTGGAGGAGCGGCCACCTTAAATTTCATTAACCATTATCAAAGACTAAATAAAAGATAATAGGGGAGGGCATAGCCCTCATTGCCCCCAAACTCTCCCTTTCACAAACTCGGCCCAAACCCAACACATACAATCAGAAATCCAAATGCAATATAGGAACATTGATATAATCCTCTCAACAAAGAGTAATGAGAGCTTGAAGAAGGTGAGAGACGACATCTAATATGACCAATCTCTTATCCTCAATACCTTTATTGGCAGGATAGTTGACACAGAAATTCTCCTCTTTTTAGAGGTGCATAAAAAACAGCATTCATGCCAGTAAGCATTGTTTTAATTGTCTTCAATGTGTAAAAAATTGACCAAGGGGGAACGTTTGCCATTCATTATATCAACTAGACTTGAATTGTCACTCTCCACCTTAATTGATAAAATGCTATTAGTGTGGCAAAGCCAAAGACCACCCAACAGAGCAAGAAATTCAACTTGAAGAGGAGTATCAGAGTCATAAGAATTTGAAAAGGCAAACAACAAATTACCATCAACCTTTCTAATTACACCTCCACCACCACTTGTTCCCGGGATACCACGGCTAGCCCCATCTACATTTAACTTGGATTCAAATAAAGTAGGGAATTTTCAAGAAACCCACATATTTTTCTTCCTTTTTGCTGCTTTAATGGGGATGTTAAGATAATGAAGCATTGATTAGTTGGGATCATTTGATTTAGGATTTTGTTGTAATGAATCCATCTCAAACACCCGATTGCATCTCTCATTCCAAATGATCCACAAAATGATAGATGGGAAAATACACATAAGATTGTGGATTTGGGAATCTTTTTTACTTATATTCCACCAACCCTTCACATGATCGACAATGTGTTGAGATGGGTTAATAGCTATGTTAAATAAATTTGAGACGTATCTCCATATATTCTTTGCCATAACCCCTTCGGCAAAAAAGATGGTTGAAAGATTCTAGTTCATGGGTACCACAATAGCAACATTTTGAAACTAGATTGATCCCTCTTTTCTTAACCAAGGGCATCATGCATAAATTTCCACATAAATAGAGATATTTTGGTTGGGAGCCCTCTACACCAAACATTCTTATCCCGATTAATAACTGGGTTGTGGTCCCTCACCAGCTTCCAAACAGTAGATAAAGAGAAACTTCCATTAGGGTTACAATTCCAAATTAAATAAAAAATCTTCAGAGCACAATTTAAAGATTTAGCCAAGTCTATGACAGCAATGGGGATATCATTAACTTTATAAATCAAAATTTCACGAACCATCTTGTTTAAGCACCTGATTTAGTTTAAAATCAGTCACATAAAAATCCTTCACTTTATAGATGAGAGGACCAGAACCCTTCCGATTGTCAAACCAAAAGGATACCTCCCCTCTACCCACCATCCACCGAACATCTCCTTCCATAATCGGGTTATGTAGCTCATCATATACGTTTGTTTGTAGCAGATCTGAGATGATCTGGGTCCATTTTATTATCAGAAGGTCACGTCAATTTTTACTAACAAGACAAAGCCGACCCACGATTTTACAGGCCCACCAGCTATGCAACGCAGCTAAAGCATTTTGCCATGTGTATTTAGTTACAACTTACAATGATGGACTTCGGTGCGATGCCGTAGTCTGGGCATCTTAAACTGGCGTCAAATTGGGGTTACAGCAATACATAAAAGTAGGGATGACAACGGGGACGGTTGGGGGAGGATTTTATAAATTTTAGGTCTATCCGTCTCCTTAGGCCCTAGCCCTCCAAACTCGTATTCGTCTCAAAATCTGTAAGAGATTGGATTTTGGGAATTTAAATTCTTCTCATATATGAAAATATAAAACCTTCTCCAATCCTATTCTCTCTGACTGCATTCAAGGTTTAGGTGGATTGTGTTCAGAACTTTCATCCAACTTTTTATTATTTCTAATTATATATAAGTAATAAATAAGTAAAATAATACAAGCAAACAACATAATTTCTATTTATTTGATTAAGGCATATAAAAAATATATAAACTATCAATTGTCTTTTATATAAAATTTAAAATATTATTAAATTCAACACCTAGTACATAAAACTCATATATTTTCCAATAATATACGGGTCGGGTTTAACCTAACATCGTACCCTACCCGTATGGGTTTTAGAATCCTAAAAACCCATTCCTGCCCCAAAATCCATCTTGCATATCCATCGGGTAGGATAGAAATTTCCATCCCTACATCAAAGACCAAGATTTAGAGGTGAAAAGTGGCCCACCTGCATTGCAGTGGGTCATGCTAGGCCGACATAAGGGCTTGGTCGGGCTGTGCCTTTCTGGCTCGGAACTCCTCAAAGGTCAAGCTCAGCCCAGCTTACGGTACAAGCCCAAGTGAGCCCATGTCATGCTGGGCCAAGCTGGGGTAGCACGATTGTTGTAGAAAAATTGACAAAAATAATGAAAAGGTTAAAACAAATTAACAAGATAGTTAGATAGACCATAAATTGAAAAAAAAAACCTTAAAGTTTTACTCTATATGAATTTTGATGAATGGATTTGTTTATATATGAAATAATAAAATGAAATTGAAAACAAATTACAATAAAATTAAAATAAAGTAATATAATAAAAATAAAAATAAAATTTTATATTCATATATATATATATATGTATATTAATATTTTATTATATATACATATATTATATATATATGTGTGTGGCCTGTGCTAGGCGGCTATGTGGGTTGTGTCACACTGGCCCACAGGCTTAAAAGCCCAACCCAACATGACCCAAGGGTATGGGCCCGGCCACGGCACAACCCATATCGTGTCAGGCCATGCTGCACTTTACAACCCTTACCAAGATTCAAAGGTTTTAGCTCGTGCCGTCGCACGTGTTTTAGTTTGGGATAAAACCAATATTTTCACAC